TTCTAAAAGAAACATAACAATATTGTTTTATGTACTTTCACTTTTCACGTATAGTATAACTACTCTTTAAGATTAAGTACTGTGTATCTCAAAAACCAGAGCTAATAAAAATTTTTCATTGTTATTTTTGTTTTTATCACCCCAAAATTAGTAGAAATTGACTAATTTAGTGTAGGAAACATTCAAAAAATATTTTTTTGTTGTGTTGTGTTATTGTTTCGAAATATTTATTTTCTGGAATGTATGTATCTCTTCTTGATACAGTCCTCAGACACGTTTGTTTCCCTGATTAATCACCTCAACAATAATGGATTCTACACAATTGCATATGCGGATGACATAGTTACTTTACAGACCGGCAAATTTGTGAACACACTGTGCGATATAGCGCAGGATGGGCTCAAATTAATAGAAACATGGTGCAAGGAACAATCACTGTCGATCAATCCCAAGAAGACTGTGATGGTCCTTTTCACGACGAAAATAAGTTTATCGGGCTTGAAACCTCCCGAAAGCTTCAAAAGCAAAGTAAAACTTCTCTGAAGAGGTGAAATACTTTGGTACTACCCTCGACAGGAAGCTAACATGGAACTCTCACCTACAGAGTAGAGCAAAAAGAGCATATGTGGCTTATGAGCAATGTAAAGGACAGTGGGACGCGCATGGGGTCTTTTGCCCCATGTGGTCACCTGGATCTATACTGCAATAATAAGACCTATGATAACGTAAGAAGCCATTACATTGGGACCTAAAGTTCTACAAACAACGGAGATCCAAAAAATATATCAAATACAGCGATTGGCTTGTTTAAACACCACAGGGGCCATGAGAACAACACCAACCGCGGTAATAGAGTTAATTACTGATCTGACCCCTCTGGACTTGTACGTTGAGGAAGTTGCGTTAATGTCCATGTTACGATTGCGCACGGGTTTCGCTCCGTGTTCTGTGTATTTTCTCCCCATAAGGATTATTTTCACAACGTTTCGGCAAAGTCTCATTTGCCATCTTCTGGTGATGTCTGTTTTTTTCAACTAGACTGATTAATTCGAACTCTGTGTCTCAATTTATAGGGATGGATGTTTCCCTTTACCTGCGTTGCTGCCACTACCTGTGTTTGCTCGACTACCTGTTTTGGTCTTATTACCTGAGCTGCCTCTCCTGTCTCTGTTATTGTACCTGTATTGTCATGTACCGAGTTTTGCCTCTGGAGTTGAGCCGTCTGATTGCTTGTGCGAAGCGATAAAACGGATCTCCATGTTGATGGTAATCTTTGCGCATCATCCCTCTTGTTCATATTATTAGGTCGTTTTTCAATTTCGATTGCCTCTCTGATTGTTCGTGAGTAAAAGTTTTCGTTGCTTGCTAGCATTTTTGTGTTGTCGAAATTGATGTTATGTCCTGTTTGAAGTACGTGTTGGAAGAGAGAAGACGTGGTGACTTTTCCCTTCACTGCTAGTTTGTGTTCATCTTTGCGAATGTTGATTCGTCTGTTGGTCTGGCCGATGTAAGTCCTGTCACAATCATGGCATGGTACTTCATACACTCCTTGTGACTCCAGTGGTATCTGATCCTTGGGATTACGAAGCATGGATCTTATTGTCCGTTCTGGTACTAACGAAGTTGATATGTTATGTCGGTGAAGAATTCTGCTGATTTTATCTGTTGTTCCTGCAATATATGGTAGTGTGGTTGTTATGACCGGTATATCTCGAGTTTTTTGTTGTTTCCGTGTGGTCTTGGCAGCCGCTTTTATACTTCTTTCTGAGTAGTTATTCATTTGTAGAGTTGTTTCGATGGTGTTCAACTCTTGTTGAACATCACCCTGGACGACCCTGGGAAGCTGGCGCTGAAGAAATATCTGGTGATGACCAGAAAAAATCTACGTTTAACAGTAGGATTTCTGACTGGCCAATGTCAACTAAGAAAACACCTCCATGTAATGGGGCTAGTGGTCACACATCTATGCAGGATGTGTGGACAGGAAGATGAGTCTGTCAGGCATGTTCTATGCAAGTGCCCGGAGTTATTGTCAATAAGAGAGTATGTGTTCGGCGAGTCTTGGCCTACACCTGCCGATATAAAGGGGATGTCTCTTAGTGACCTCTCCATTTTCCTGGAAAGGACAAGATGGACGGTGACCTAGTAGGACAACTTCTTGGGAGGATGTGCAATGGGTCACATGTGGCATAAGTGTTGTGAGCCTACACTCACAGATACAGATACGTTTCTTCCCCGCTTGGGGCTTTTTTTCCCATGATGGAGCTGTTACTAGTTAACAATCTATCTCTCAAACGAAGGTTTCATACATGCAGTCGAGCTACGTTGAAATTAATCGCATCCCAGGCACTTTGCTGTTTGGGTCAAAAGTTTCTTGTACTGATGAGAGGTAATACCTCAAAACCGCGGTCTGCAGGTGATCTACTTGAATAATTTTAGCATGATCCTGCTGCTGGATGATCGGGAATCATCTGCGACACTAACCTCAACATCCAGCGTGGTATTAGCCGGGGAAGTAGTTTTTTTTTCTGCAGGAATTTATCAGAACCTACGGTGTAGGTAGTTAGAAAAATGTATTTTTTAGTATTATGTATCTGATTCATTCTGTACTCAGTGTTACGTGTTTACTTACAAATTGATGAATGATTGATGAATTTGAAATTTTGTTCCAGAAGTCGGCGGCGGTTCATCTGCAGCGAAATTTTTCGAGTAATAGATCCGAACGAATTTACATGGACTGGATTTGGTGGGTTTTCCAAGGCCTGCCCTTCCAGCATCTGGTGCGGGTAATGGATTGTTTTTTCCACGAAGGAGTCAAGGTAAAAAGTATTCCACAAAAACACAATTATAAAATTTATAGAGGATGAAAATGAGACAAAAATAAAAGAAAAAATAATTTACGGGCGATCCGAGGTTTAGAAGTGGAAGGGGATGAGTTTTCGAAGATAAAAAACGGTTTATTGCGTTTTCGGCAAAACTATGGAGAAAAGTTGAAAGTTAAAGTTGTATGTGATAAAAAGATTTAGATAACCTCAAAATTTTATGCAAAAATTCAAGAGTTTTTTTTTAATTGAAGTGGTATATTTTTAAGAGAGGTACATTTTTGGAAAAGAATGTTTTTTGACCTTCTACTAGAAGGCCAAACACTTTCTTTCCCGAACAGATTTCTTGTTTTTTTTTATGTTCTACAAAAAAATTCCTCACCAAGTTTGGTGAAAACTTACCTTTTACCAAAGGCACTGTAATTATCTTGATTTTTTTTTCCTTCATTTTAATTTAATATCGAAAACGCCCCAAATTTCCAATCGAACATTCTGTCGTCAAAATATCTGTTTTTTCAAAAAAATCAGCGTGGTTCTTGTTCGTTGAAATCTCTATTTTTTAAGGGCTCAAAGAAATATATATTCCTATTGCAAATTTTCTCAGAAGATGCAAAATAAAACGAAAAAACTCGAATTCAATTCTTTTTCATCATTATGTGAAATTTATAGCTATCCGGTCAATCTAGACATTGGAAGTTACATAAATTTACAACAAGCTGCAAATGCGTGTAATTGTTCAAAACATAGTTAAAAATAAGATTTTAAAATTCCGAATGATTGCGATGCCTGGAAAAAAAATTATTCGAGGTCAAAGGTCAGAAAATCTCGAAAAAATTTGGTTTTTCGCGATTTTCAGGAAAACGGTAAGTTTTATCATAAAATATCCTCAGATAAAAATTGTAGATCATAAAATTCTCTACAAAAAATGGATCAATACTTTTTTTTTCTTAGAGCCACCGTTTCTGAGATACGACGAGTCAAAAAGTTGTAATCGTCATTATATGCACACGTTTCCACGCCACCTATGAGGTAGTGTACTTAGCGCGTTTTTGTTTTACGTGGTTTCCCCAGTAGGCCTATTCCACATGTCTGTTGTGATTCTGTCAAATTGAAAACTTGCATAATAAAATATATTAGGAAGGATTGGAAACTATAAAAGCAATTGAAATTAAGAAAATGTCAAAATTTATTCATCTGAGTCATAACTTTCAAATACTTCTTCTTGTCGTTCTTCTTGGTCTTCTTCTTCTTCTTCTTGATCTTCTTCTTCTTCTTGATCTTCTTCTTCTTCTTGATTTTCATCCTGGGTGTAGGTAAACTGCGTCAAGAGTGATGTATCGCATGTTTCCTCGTTGGTATCAAATGAATCCTCCAGTATTGGTGATTCAGCATTAGAACATGACTGGCCTTGACAATGTGTACATGCCAGAGAACACAACAGTCCAATTTTTTTACAACCACATTTAGCGCTGCATCCCTTTTTACAGTTGCAAAAAATTGTGTTCAGTAGATTTTCCGGCGCAGGTGTGAGTAAAAAAGTCTGAATGGTTCTAATGCATTGTCGACGAACTTCCAACCCCAGTCTTTTGGATCTAGCTGATGATCAAGCTACACTTGAACTTGGTAATATACCCGGAAAAGATGTTGTTCTATTGAAATAGAAACAGACAACTCAATCAGTTTCTTGGACCTAACAATTAGTAGAATGAACAACAAACATGATTTTTCAATTTATCACAAACCGTCCTATACGGATATTACTATACCCTACGATTCTACCCATCCTTATCAACACAAAATAGCAGCTTATAATAGCATGATTCACAGATTAGCCAATGTTCCTCTTTCAATAGATAATTCAATGGGTTTAAAGCCGAATTAATAAACAAAATACTTGCCAAGACACAAAAGCGATTCGAGACGTTTTTCCCAAAATTATAGAGCTTTAACGTATTTTGGACAACCAACGGAAAACGTGGCTTCATTTTTGAGGAATCGAGATATTAAAATTGCATATAGAACAATTAAAACGTTGGGAAAGTTAGTTAAAAATAATAAAGACAAAACATCCAAATTCGAGAAATCAGGAGTATATAAATTAAAGTGTGGAACGTGCCCCAAGGTGTATATTGGTCAAACTGGCAGGACATTTAGGATTCGAATCCAGGAACATCATAAGAGCTATGTAAATAAGAAAACAAATTCAACATATTCAAATCATCTTCTAGAAGAAAATCACATCTTTAATGAAGAGTTCGAAATTTTGCACATAGAAAATAAAGGTTTGAAGCAATGGAAATTAATAAACTTAAAAATTCAAACACTCTAATGAATGACCAACTAGATTTGAATAGATCACCATTATTGAACTTGTTTTCTTAAAAACCGAGAAAGGATTATTATTGATGTAGATGTGAGGCAATATGCTTCAGGTGGTCATAATTGAACAGGTACGTTATGTAGAGGATCAAGTAATTTCTTGGAGATAGTCTCAATTATGGTTACCTGTAGTACATAAATATTAGTGTTAAAACAACTATAAGTATAAATCACTTGAGAAAGCTAATGTCTTAGCGAAACATGTTGCGAGATATTTTTCTAATAAAGTTTGTGGAGATCAAATCGTGAGGTGTAATTACTATGGTTGAAATTACTATGGATCTTCATCAAGTAACGACCGAATCAATCAGAAAAAAAAACAAGTGTGTTGTCGACAGCAACGCAATATATTGGTTTCTTGGTTTTTCCAATAAGTCGTTGATATTCAATAAAAAAAAAGGTTGGAGACAATATGGATCCATGGGGAACGCCAGCGTTGATTGTAAAATTATTAGAGAGATATCCATCGACCGTCATTTGGAGGGAACGTTCTTTCAGGAAGCTGAAGATCCATGTACATAAATAATACAACAAGCCATAGCATCGAAGCTTGACCAGCTTTATTGTAATATAGCTGTAAAACCATCTAAAATGAATAAACCAAATTGATAATAATAAAATATGACGTTGTTCATTCTTATCGTTCAAATCACAGTTAATCGTATTGACTTAAATGATAGCGTTTAATTGTTAATCACACTAATACTTGTTATCTGAAAAAGGAGCAGGATATCACCGGCGACGATCTGGAAAAACACCGAATAAAATAAGATTCGACATTATTAAACACAATATATGTCTGCGGGTAAACCGCGGACACGTGTTTCTGGCTATTGGCATCATCAGCGCGGTGCAGCCAAGTGTAAAGGTGGGCAACACTTGTTTGCCGAAAGCAGGAAACAACACATACGCAAGGAGTCAACAACAGAGGCCAACCGCACATTTGTGGTTCCAGTTAGAAGACCTAGAATTCCTAGGCTACATCTAACATGACCACGTAGGCAGCTATAGCTACCTGCGTGACATCCGGGTCAAGAATATAAATACAAATAGAGATTTTATCGAGTGTGCATGATACAAATCAAAAATGAAATAATTCGTGGACACAACACTCCAAAAAAGGGGGGCAAACCGCGGACACGTGATTCTGGCTATTGGCATCATCAGCGCGGTGCAGCCAAGTGTAAAGATGGGCAACACTTGTTTGCCGAAAGCAGGAAACAACACATACGCACGGAGTCATCAACAGGAGCCAACCGCACATTTGTGATTCCAGTTAGAAGACCTAGAATTCCTAGGCTACATCTAACATGACCACGTAGGCAGCTATAGCTACCTGCGTGACATCCGGGTCCAGAATATAAATACAAATAGAGATTTTATCGAATGTGCATGATACAAATAAAAAATGAAACAATTCGTGGACACGAATTTTCAAGAACTCAGCTCAGCCAACTGTGTCAAAACTTATTTCTAAACAAGACGACGACGGACTCCCAGATTCCTAAATATCTCCTTGCTAATTGCTCAAACAGGTAAATTTCATACTATTGGACAGGATTTAATTTTACCGGTAATAAAAGAAGTAATAACTACTGTGCTCCATAAACCAGCGGCAGATATCCGAAAAATTCATTTGAGCAATAGTTCCGTGCAAAGACGAATTGATGAGATGGCTGAAAACTCTAAATTCTCAATTCAGTTAGATGAGTCCACTTTACCAACCAATAAAGCATTGTTGCTGTCATGCGTGAGGTTTTTGAAAATGAGAAAATATGTCAAGAACTACTATTTGCCAGAAATGTAGAGACAGATACAAAACGAGAAACCATATATAATACACTGGAAAAATTTTGTGATGAGAAATTCCACTGAAGAATATTATATCAGCTGCTACGGGTGGCGCTCCGGGTATGACAGGACGTCACAAAGACTTCATAGCGTACTTAAAAAATAAAATTCCCGATGTGCTCGCTGTACATTGCGTCATTCATAGGCAACATTTGGTTGCGAAAAGAAATTTCAACTGATTGCTATTTCACACAGAAGTGCGTTGATTATCAAGAGATAACTGTCTGACTCGATTTTACAATCTATTTGACTCTGTAATAGAGTTCTTGTAAAACAAAGACAAAGAATTGCACGACAACCTCATCACTTCAAAGAATGATATTGCGTACTTGAAAGACCGATATAAATTATTTGATGATGTCAATCTCCACCTTCAAGGTGACGACTTGAATTTGATTAAAACAAAAAATGCCATTGCTGCTTTTGTAGCCAAATTACTCTTATACAAGAATAATATCGATAGATGTGGGTGTCGCAATTTCCCCAAATTCATCAGCAGTATCCTTCAACAACGACGACTTGCTTGTTTACGGCCAATATTTGAAGAACCTCCGCAGTGATTTAGCAAAACGATTCCAGGACATTTTAAAATTGGAAATACCCGACTGGGTGTTGAATCCTTTTTCAAATGTCAACACAGCAGGATCGATCACCCCAGCTAGAAAAAGAACTCATAGAACTGATAACTCGAGGAATTTAAAATGAAATTTATAAATAGATACCAAAAATTTTGGCTACAAAAGTCAATCCTGCAATTATACCCTGGATTGTGGTCCATCGTTCAACGATTTTTGATAGCATTTCTGTCATAGTATTTGTGTGAACGTGGATTTAATGCTGTGGCAACGTTGCTAACTAAAAAGAGAAATCGGTTGCAGATTAACGAACGCGGTGACTTTCGGCTGTTTTTGAGTAAATTTGAGCCTGATATTAACAAACTTGTTAAAAATCATCAAATTCATCTTTCACATTAGATTAGTTTTAAAATTCAAATTTGAAATGTTTGTTTTAATAACATGAATAAAAGTTTTCCTAATATTACAAAATGGTGTTTCACATTACCCTCATCAGAAAGTCTTATTTTCACATGACACACATAATTTAATTATTAAAATAATGACTGCGATTGTGATTCTTAAGATGTAGAAAAGTAAAAAAAATTGGGGAGCGCTAAAAAATAATTAATTCTCGAAGTGGGCGGTAGACGGAATAAGTTTGAGAACCTCTGCTTTATAGTAAGTCTATAAAAGGAATGAAAGTTTCTGTTTAATGTTTCGTGAACATTACCTGGTTTTTCGTCTGGCGAAACTAAAGATAATGAATATAGTTTTGAAAAACTAAAAAACACGCTTTTAAAGAACATCGAACTGAATAGTTCAAAATATTTTTTTAAATAAGCTTAAAACAACAACGAACGAAAAATAATAGTATTGTTGTGAAAATAGCGACGGGCGCTTGATATACAAAAAATATGGCACAGAGCGCCAACGCTTTTTTCACAAAAATACTAGTATTTTTCGTTCGTTGTTGTTTTAAGCTTATTTAAAAACAATATTTTAAACTTTCTAGTTCGATGTTTTTTAAAAGCGTGTTTTTAAGTTTTTTCAAACTATATTTATTTTCCACTTTTTAGTCCGATTTATTGTCAAAAATAATTTTTTTCAAGTTCTAGTCACTATAGTAAAACCAATAATGATTGAGAGTAAAGCGCGTTGTCATATCTAAATTTTACGTTACCAGTTTATAGCAGAATCAAAATATAGTAAGCAGTAGAGTTGTAGGTTGTGGCAAATTATAGATAATACACAATACTAGTACGATTAAAAGGTATTATTTATGACAAAAATCAGTAATGAGCTTGTAATGAGTAATACTTATACATTTCCTGATTACTGATCAGTTAAAATTCATTATTTTCTGTATAGTGTTAGATATTTATTACAACTAGTGGCAACGCTGTACGCAACGATATTTC